AGAGAATTTTGATTACTCGCCTAAGCTCTCTTCAGTTTTTTTTTTTGTAATCTGTCTAAGATCTGGGGTAGAAGGAATTGCATTTATGTTTTATCTTGATTTGTCCGACGTCAGATCAAGAGCAAGAGAACTTTTTTTATCAAGCTAACCTCAAAGTGTAAAACAATCTACACAAGGCTTTCGGTCTCCTCTTCGGGGGGAGAGCCGATAATTCTATCGAATTCATCAACGAATACGACGACCGAAAAACATATAGATTAGCAGTTAAGAGTAATAAAAGAAAAAGTAACTCAGATATGGAAGACAAGTCTTGTAAGAAAAATCTATTGTGTGCGTAATGAAAGCTGATCGGACTGGTAAGAATGTAGCTATCGCAGAAAAGTCAACGACGCCGATCAAGCTTATTACATCTTATTATCAAAATGACAACGAAGGCCTGTACATGGTATGGGTACAACCGGCTGCTTTGTTGGAGAATAATAATTCCAATCGAGCTAATAGATTGAGTCTATTTAAAGTAGGAAAATTGATGTACAAAAAGTTTAACAGCATAAATTATATATGCAGCAAATCTAAATTTAAAATAGAGGTCAATCAAATTATCAAACTTACACGAAGCTAACCTGTTAGTAAAGGAAACAACTTTTGAAGATAATGGCTAGAAAGCTTTCATCCCCAGTAACAGACTATTAAGAAGAGGTTTAGTTAAAGATACCGATGAAGACATTTCTGAAGAAGGAATCCAGGAATCTCTAATTTCGGAGTTTAAAGTTCTTAAAGATTTAACAAAAGAAATAGAGATCCAAATAGGCAAGAGAACGATCCCAAATGGATCCCTAGTAAATCCGTTGTGATCACCTTTTCAGATCAAAAATTACCGAAAGAAGTATTTTTACACAAATCAAGATTGAGGTGGAACCTTATATGTTACTTCCAACTATTTGTTACAACTGTTTTAGGTTTTGGTCACTCAAGCACTAACTGTAAAAGTAATGCTAAATATAGTATATATGGTGAACTAAAGCATAACGAAAATTGCGCTATATACTCCCCTAAATGCGTTAACTGCAAGAACCACACCTCTACGAATAAGGAGTGTATTGTATATTGCAAGGAGTACGAGATTAAAAGATTAATGGCTTTCGAAAACATGATTATGGGGGACGCGAGGAAGCTAGTGTAAAATAGTTTTCAAGAAAACCTTTAGCTCGAGGACAGAAGAGTTTTCTTTTTTAAAGGAGAAGTTATTTACTCCTTATAACGAAGTTATCAAGGGTCAGAAAAATCAGTGCCAATCTATTAAGCAAAGAACCTCCAATCAATCTCACAATCAATCTTCAGTTAACCAGTTTTATAAATTTCAAAGTGCAAACAGCGAACATTTTATTGATAATAGAGATCTAATTCCATCTTCAAATGGACTGGCCATACTAAAAGATGTAAGAAATACTCTAGAAGATCACCAATGAAGAAATTGAAAATCAAAGTTGTCCATTGGATAAAGAAGCTCCTACTTTGCAAGAAAATTAGTTCCAGAACTTTCGTCCAATCCTCAAGGATTTAACGAATTCATCCGAATTCAAGTCAAGTAACAGCGAATTAAAAAAATCCCTTAGTAGGGAATTTCCTAATCTTAAGAAATCTTTTAAGACTTATCTAAAACCGTCTAAAGAAAAATCAAATCTCAAACAAATTTTTCTACGAAGAAATAGTCTAACTAAAGTGTTAAGTATGAATAGTCAAATTAGTTAATTTAAAATTCTTCAGTGGAATTGTAGAGGTCTGAGAGGAAAAACTTACGAACTGGAAAGGTTTGCCACTGATTAAAATATCATCATGCTAGTTGAGTCCGACTAGTTTAAAACGGACCAGATTCATTTCCATATCAATGATTCTAAAACTGTCCGTTTTGATAGATTAACTGATAGAGGGGGAAGAATAGCATTTTTGGTTAACAAAGATTTGATTTTCGATTCTATTACATTAGATTTTAATCCTAAGGCTATTGAAACAGAGGTCATCTCAATATCTACTTCTAATGAATGTATCACTTTAGTATCATCGATCATTTGCGAAAAATAACATCGCTGATGAGTGGTAGACTTTTCTAAAATCAGTAAAGAAACTGGGAGACAAATTCCTCATTGGGGGTGACTTAAATGCATATTGTTTGGATTTCGAAACATATTAGCCTTGGTTGGCCACGCAGATTGTAAGTGTTTTCGAGATACCGTTGTCGCCGAATATGTAGGTATTCAATAATAGTCTTCACTCGTGTATATATTTACGTTTCGCCATTAGGAGACCGCGTGATTGCCCACATAACGCCTCGTGATCGGGCTCGACTCCGTGCTTCGTTTCCGTGGATGCGGGGAAGAGTCTAGCTGCCACTGTCGAAGGAGCGTGTACGCTTTTCTCGAGCGCGTTCTACCGATTTTCGGTAGTCTTTTGTATTGCGTCGTGTACGCTTCTCTCGAGCGCGTTCTACCGCATTACGTTAGTCTCTTTTGTAGTGCGTGGTTTGTGGAATGAATGAAGAAAATAAAGTGTTCTCGATTGAAATATTTTGACATTCTTTCATCCACCTTTCGTGCTTAATAATCGCGATTAGTCGTAGTAGTGATCTACGCAGGTATGTCATCACGGACCAGGCAATTCTCGGAACGCCATAGGCATCCCGCATTAGTGCGACTTATCGATGCCTCTTGATTTCTGCGTTCAACATTTGGTCCTTCGAGCCGGATCACGTGATGATTAATCCTATCTAATCTGCGATAAAAAATATTGGAAAAGGGGATTAATTGCTATAATGCCACGTGTGCAATAGCGTTGGCTGCTTTATAAAAAGGAATCGCGTCGGACGCTACCCGCCGTTTCCGTTCACGAAAGCAAGCTCGTGACGTCATCGAATTTTCAAGAAGCGTGAATAGATATATCATAAATTCGAATCGCTTCGTAGATGACCGTGTACAGCCCCACCCTTTGCTGGCAGTTTAGCGACACCGCGTGACTGTGTGCCAACCATTCTCCATTCGTGTTGACGACCGGAAGGAAAATCAGCCTAACCATATACAGCATTGTATTGCAGTGGAGAAACGGAACCGTAAGCTGACTTAGGAGTTGGAATTTAATTGGGAGATATGGAAGAGACTGACAAGTCGAAAGGTCCTCGGACTAGAACGCAGGGTGCAATTAATCCACTGTTGAATGTGCAAAGGTCAAATTTGGATTCTTTCTACCGCATGTGTGCATCTGTGAATAAATTGCCCACTTCTCCGTCGCCAACGACGATTGAAAGGAAACTCCAGTCGATGGGAACATTTTTTGAAAATTGTCGTAAGATTCACAATGACCTTATAATCCAAACAGACGATGAGGTGACTCATTATATTAGTGCTGATGAATTTGGCATCGCCGAATCACGATATTTGGAGGTGATCGACTTCTTGACAAGCCTGCAGGACAAGTTGGCCGCAATCTCATCTACTTCATTCTCCACCACTACCAGTGCATTTCAGCCCACTCCGCAGCGATGCAACTTAGAGAAAATTACGCTTCCCATGTTCGATGGTGATTATAAAGACTGGACTCAGTTCAAGGACCTGTTTGAAGCGCTTGTATTACGTGAGACTACCTTAACAAATGTACAAAAATTATATTATTTAAAAACCAGCCTCTCTGGTTCAGCCTTGGCGTTGATAAAAAATATCGCTGTTACAGATGCTAATTTTACAACCGCGTGGAAAATTATTTCGGATCATTACCAGGACATTCAAATTATGACATTTTCTCTGATTTTTCGAATGCTTAAATTAAAACCTGTTTCGGGAGAAAATGCTTCTGCTTTAGAGTCCTTGATCGCGCAGACTAGAGAAATTGTCATGTCGTTAGAAAATATTGGGCAGTTTACTGCAGATTCTATTTTGGTGGTAATGACTCTGCTTCGAGTCGATCCTCAAATACGTAAACATTGGGAGGAATCGATTGGTAAACGAGATAATTTTCCCGCGTATCATGAGCTAGAAATCTTTTTAAAAAATAAGGTTCATGCGTTATCGGTCGCACAAGCTAAATCGGGCATTACATTGTCTTCCGACGTACCTTTATCTAAGGGCGGTAAAAGCAAGAACGTTGAATCGAAGCTTACAACTCATGTAAGTACGGCTTCACTAACATGTTACTTATGTTCCCAAGCACATTCGGTTGCAAGTTGCTCAAAGTTTAAATCCTTAACTGCAGCGGGCCGCCTAGATTTCGTTAAATCGCAACGTCTTTGCTTCAATTGCCTTAGTAAAGGTCACATTCCGTCGACCTGCAAGCGTAGAAGTAGCTGTACTAATTGTAAGAAGAGGCATAATTCATTGTTACATGAAGCACTTGCGCAGCCGCAGTTGGATGCTCGCAATAATCTAATAGATAAAACTGCATCTGAGTGCAGTTCTGTGATGACGCCTAAATTAAATCCCAATGCACCTACATTTTCTACCGCGCATTCGGGTTGCTTGAATTCTCAATTAAATAGAGCCGCTCTAATTGCTACTGCGTGGGTGCGAGTGCGCACAACTGCGGGAAACGAACAATGTTTACGAGCCATAATTGATTCGGGATCGGAGTGTTCGTTACTTTCCGAGAGGGGCTCTCAACTATTGCGGGTACCTCGCTCGGAGTGTTCGGCGTCGATTTCCGGGGTCGGCGCCACTGTCTCCGGAGTGGTCAAACATGCAGCTCGAATTCAGGTGTTACCGCCGGATTACACGGGTGATCCTATCTTTGTAGAAGTATTAATTTTACCAAAACTATCTAGTTATGCACCACGTCGGTATGTAAAGTCGAGTCATTGGCCACAGCTAAGTCAATTGCAGTTAGCCGATCCTGATCCATGTGGTAATCATCCAATTGACTTGATACTTGGTGTTGATTGTTATGATAAACTAGTTTACGCTGATCGATTTAAGTTCCCGGGTGGACCTTCAGCTATCCGTTCGGTATTTGGATGGTTATTACGGGGTCCTATAGAGGACGCAGCCGCTAGTCATCACGTTTCCGTGACGTCGTTACACGTCACCTTTAATAATGATTTAATTCGAGCTGTAGAACGCTTTTGGGAAGTGGAAGAAATTCCCCATCAAACGCATTTAACGGAGGAGGAAAATTATTGCGAAAGGTTGTTTGTCGAAACCACGACCCGTGATCAAGACGGAAGGTTTACGGTCGCGTTACCTTTTAAAACCCCTCCTCCTCTGAATCTTGGAAATTCCTTAAAAGTGGCACAAGCCCTGTTCATCAGAATGGAGCGCCGGCTGGATCGCGATCCGGAGTTAAAAGCCGAGTATTCTAATTTTTTAAACGAATATGAGCAACTCGGTCATATGTGTCCGTATGCCCCCTCTTCGCAGGGTGAGGAAGTTTATTATATACCTCATCATCCCGTTATAAAACCGTCGAGCTCGTCTACAAAGGTACGAGTCGTATTTAACGCGTCGGCTAGAACGGATATTGGTAAGTCTCTGAACTCTACCCTCCTTGTGGGCCCTAAATTACAGCAGGATTTACCGGCCATTATATTACGTTGGCGTCAACATAAATTTGTCTGCTCCGCCGATATTACAAAGATGTTTCGGCAAATTCGAATACGAGAGGAAGATACTAAATTTCAATTAGTCTTGCATCGATCTCCCTCGACCCATGAAGTGACATCTTATCGGTTGCTAACAGTAACATATGGAACCACCTCTGCTCCTTACCTAGCTCAGCGGACCTTAATTCAGCTTGCGGATGACGAAAAAGCTAACTATCCATTGGCGAGTGCCATTGTCATCGAGAATACCTTTATGGATGACACCTTTTTCGGATGTTCATCGATTAACGGTTGCCGGGAACTAAGAAATCAGCTCATTTCCTTATTTGGTCGTGGAGCCTTTTCTTTGCATAAGTGGACCTCCAATGCTCCTGAGTTATTGGCAGATTTACCGAGTAATTTAATTGAGAATTCTCAAAACATAGCACTTCAAGAGGACTCCTATGTAAAGGTTCTAGGAATTTATTGGGATCCCGCTCGTGATGTTTTTGCCTTTCGCGTTGATCCTGAAATTCCTCAGTGTCTTAATAAAAGAACCTTTTTATCATTTCTTGCAAAATGCTATGATCCCTTAGGGTGGTTAGCTCCGGTCATTGTTGCAGGTAAAATATTAATGCAACAAATTTGGACACTATCAATTGCTTGGGATAGTAAGTTGCCTGATCCAATCTTCCATGATTGTCTCTCATTCTGTGAGGATTTGCAAAATTTAGCGCAAGCTCATTTGCCCCGCTGGCTCCAAATCTGCACCGTTACATGCCACGTCGAGCTTCACGGTTTTGCCGATGCCTCAAAGAAGGCCTATGCTGGAGTGATCTACTTGCGAGTGGTTCGAGAGGGAACAAGCGAAACATTTCTTCTCACCAGCAAAACCAAGGTGGCTCCACTTAAAATTTTGTCCATTCCGCGGCTCGAACTAAACGCGGCGGAATTATTATCACGACTTTTAAAGTGGGTTGCTTCCGCTTTACGCTTGAATTGTGATATTCCGATGTATGCGTGGTCAGACTCCACCGTAGCCCTTGCGTGGATCCGAAGCCCTCCATCAAATTGGAAAACTTTTGTGGCAAATAGAGTATCGGCCATTCAATGTCGATGTCCTACAGTTCAGTGGCGCCATGTTCCGTCCGAAGATAATCCAGCGGATCTAGCTTCTCGTGGGCTACGCGCTTCCGATTTGATAAATAATACTCTTTGGTGGCATGGCCCTCCCTGGCTCGTCTCGGGAGACTGGCCATCTCTGGAACCATCCGGAAATGAGGAAATTATTGAATTGGAAAATTGCAAAAAGAGCGTACACGTAACTTGTAGTCAGGATTGGGAGTTAGCTTCTCGGTTTTCTGATTGGGGTAAACTAATTCGAGTTACAAGCTTAGTTTTACGATTTATTTCTCGACTTCGCCGACAAGACGGCAAGGAGATCAGTCCCCTTACTTGGAAAACCCATGCCAAGAACCTTTGGATTAAATATATGCAATCTCAGACCTTTGAAAAGGAACTGGAACTTCTAAAAAGGGGTGAAAAGCTTCCCCGCTCTAGTGTTTTGGCAACTATGAATCCCTATTTGGATAAGGAAGGGATTATTCGCATGCAAGGACGATTGCAGCATTCTCCACTGAATTTTAAACAAAAATTTCCGATCATCCTGGCTAATTGTCCATTAGTGGTTCTCCTGGTTCGGCACGCTCACCTTCGCTCCTTGCACGGTAACAATGCATTAACCGCGCGCCTTTTACGTGAAGAGTCGTGGATTATTAGGTCCAAGTTAATTATACGTTCGGTCATTAATAATTGTGTGATTTGCACGAGATATAGGGCGAACTTAGGTCAACAACAGATGGCACCCCTTCCCTCCATACGGTTTCGTTGTGAGCGTCCATTTTGCAGTGTGGGTATCGATTACGCTGGGCCTCTATTGGCCAGGGCACTGCCTGGTAGAGGACATCACTCGAGGAAAATGTATATCGCAGTCTTCGTTTGTATGACTACACGTGCAATACATATAGAGTTGGTACATGACCTTACGACTAACGCATTTCTTGATGCTTTTCGTCGCTTCATCTCACGGCGTGGGGTTCCTGCCCAGCTTTTAAGCGATAATGGCACCAATTTCCAAGGGGGTCAAGCCGAATTAGCTAAAAAATTTCGTTCGGCTCTACGAAATCCGGCTGTGGAAGCTAAGATGTTGGAGTACGAAATAGAATGGCGCTTTATTCCGCCCTCTTCGCCCCATTTTGGAGGAATGTGGGAGGCCGGAGTAAAATCCATAAAGTACCATCTTCGTCGCATCGTAGGAACTCACACGCTAACGATTTCGGAATTAGAAACATTATTATGTCAAATCGAGGCATGCGTTAACTCGCGTCCTATCGCCGGTTTCTCAAACGACTGTGATGATTTGAGTTATTTGACCCCGGGTCATTTTTTAGTCGGTGCTCCACTTCTGTCATTGCCTGAACCTTATATTCCTTCGGCCATTTCCACTAGTCTGAAGCGTTATCATCTCGTCCAACGCATGCGAGATCGCTTCTGGAAGGTGTGGCAATTAGATTATATAAACACTCTACAAAAGCGTTCTAAATGGCGATTAGCCCATCCGAATTTTAGGGTCGGAGACCTCGTCCTTATTAAGAATGACAACTTACCGCCCTCGCGTTGGGCATTAGGTAGAATTACCAAATGCATTCCTGGTAAGGACGGATTAGTCCGCGTCTGCGAAATAAAGAGCGCATCCTCGTCGTTTTTGCGGTCCATCCATAAATTGTGCCCTCTTCCGGTTAATGCGATGGACGATAGTCCCACGGCGGGCGGGACTATCTCGACAACTAACATTAAGCGTTAACTTAAGTGTTAATTTTTAAGGTACGCGCCCTTTGCATGGCGGGCGGCAAATGCCTTATTATTATGTTATTAGCTACGCTTATGTAATAATTAATATAAACTGTTTGTACAAGTAGATGTATAAGGATATTTCGCTTTAAATGAAAGCGAGGCGAGCGGAATGTTTGGATTTCGAAACATATTAGCCTTGGTTGGCCACGCAGATTGTAAGTGTTTTCGAGATACCGTTGTCGCCGAATATGTAGGTATTCAATAATAGTCTTCACTCGTGTATATATTTACGTTTCGCCATTAGGAGACCGCGTGATTGCCCACATAACGCCTCGTGATCGGGCTCGACTTCGTGCTTCGTTTCCGTGGATGCGGGGAAGAGTCTAGCTGCCACTGTCGAAGGAGCGTGTACGCTTCTCTCGAGCGCGTTCTACCGATTTTCGGTAGTCTTTTGTATTGCGTCGTGTACGCTTCTCTCGAGCGCGTTCTACCGCATTACGTTAGTCTCTTTTGTAGTGCGTGGTTTGTGGAATGAATGAAGAAAATAAAGTGTTCTCGATTGAAATATTTTGACATTCTTTCATCCACCTTTCGTGCTTAATAATCGCGATTAGTCGTAGTAGTGATCTACGCAGGTACGTCATCACGGACCAGGCAATTCTCGGAACGCCATAGGCATCCCGCATTAGTGCGACTTATCGATGCCTCTTGATTTCTGCGTTCAACACATATCATGGCTCATAGAGTAGTAGTCATATATATAATTGCCAGAATTGAAATATTATTTACAACTTTACTGATCAGGAGGATTTCATTATTATGAACAATGGTAATCATACTCATATTTCAGGACCTAACTACACTGGATCTTGTATTGATCTGACTATCGTGTCAGCATCGTTAACTCTCGACTGTGATTGGGTGATTGAATCTGATAACTGGAGGAGTATGGCCACTATCCATCTCTATTTTTTTAGACGTCGTGGCGGAATATTCCAAAATCTCAAAATAAATTCAACTTAAAGAAGGCAGATTAATCTAAATTCAATGAATTCTAGGAGGCTAATATTTACTCCTTTAATTCTATCGATTTTCTTAAATCTCATGTTTGCTCATCAGATATTCTTTTCTAATCAGCTTAATTAATGAAAGCTTAGAGGTTTCTTTACCTAAGAAAAAGATTAATAAAGGAATAGAGCAGAACAACTCATCCAATAAGACGAAAAAAAGAATTCCGGCAATATGGTGAAATGAAATCAATTTTATTATTAAGAACATTGGAGTTGGAGAGAATAAGGCGACAGTTACGGAAGCGTTTAAGCATGCCCCATATTTCCGGAGTAGATGTTAGGTGGTGGTGATTGATAGTATTTCTTCCAGCCGCTACGTTTAGCTTTGCGCAGAATACGCCGACGTTGACCCATCTCAGAGAGATAGCACACGTAATTGTCCCATGTGGGAATCTGCTTGAAAGTTTTAAGGGCTCTGCTGCGGACATTTACAGCCGTAGTACACTTCAGCATCCACCAAGGGGCCAGCGGAAGGCCCCTGTTAGTGTGAGATGAGTGATTGAAAAAGCAGGGACGATTCTATGTTGAATTAGAGTGCGAGAACCTTTCGAAGCTATTAGAAATCAGTTCGAAGAAAGTATCATATTGAGTGAGAGGATTGTTAGGCTCAATAGAGTTGATGGACTGAAAAATAGTGTGGGCATTGTCGTTAAGATACTATTTAATCTCAGACCATTGAGATGAGGTAAGATTGAGCTTGTAAGAGAAAATATTGATAGATTTAATTAAACAATTGACCGAGATCTTGATAGAGTGATGATTACTTCCGCAAAGATCAGAGGAAATACGTGTGTTGCATAAAGAAACGATGCTGGGAGAAGCCAACTAAATCAATGGTGGACGGATTTCTGAGGAGGAATGAAAGTAGGCGTGAATATGGGGTTGAGAATAATCAAATGCTGGTCGTCAATACCCTCGCAAAGAGCGTCCGGTGGTATTCGTTCGAGGGGTTTCCCATAAAAGACGATGGGCATTAAATTAATTCTTGCCGAGAAGAATGGCTGAATCATTAGTCCCGATGAAAGATGTAAGGTAAGAGATTGCTCTACGCGAGGCAGATAAATTAGGGTGTCTGTAAGCATCGATGATGACGAGGTAAGAGTTGTTAAGAGAGAGCCGAATATCGAGTGTCCATAGTAAGGTCCAGGTTGGATGAAAGATCCAAGGTGGAATAGGCAATGAGATTGCGAATAAAGACAAGCATACCTCTTTTGTCTGCTATATTCGCGTCAACACGGATGCAGTCAAAAGCCGCAAGTGCGGAAATCGTGGTCCCCCTTAATACATGTTTCAGCTAGAAAGATAATATCAGAATGCGCAACCATATTTTCGATTTCAGCTTTCTTCCCGGATACTCCACTGCATTAGGACACGGACCCGATTGCGCACCGACCCGATTGCACATGGACTCGATTGCCCACCGACCTGATTGCACACAGACTTAATCAGACGCAATAGCGATCGTAAAAAGGGGGAAAATATTAGTAAATGATGAAAAAACATAAATAAATGTATATATATATATCCACGCGAAGCGACTCTCACCCTTCCTCCCCTCCTCTGCAAAGAGGCGCACAACCTCTATAATTGTACTGTTGTTGAGATTAGAAAATCTGTCATGTAGGCAGTGAGATGTATAGACTAGTACTTATCGGTTCAATAGTCGCGAAGCCAAGTTACGCCGCCCTGAATAAAAAAATAATAACATATCCTACCCGCTTAGGGCCTAATCGCCTAGAAGCTACAACGTAGACAGTATCCGCTTGGAATATTTCTAATCCATGAAGACAGTGGGACATATAAGAATAGTCAATGTGCAATTGGGTTGTGCGCAATCGGATCCGTGCGCAATTGGGTCGGTGCGTAATCGGGTCCATGCGCAATCGGATCGGTGTGCAATTGGATCTGTGCGCAATCGGATCTGTGTGCAATCGGGTCTGTGTGCAATCGAATCCATGTTCTAATGCAACGCTGTGAATCCGATCGAGTCCGTGTTTGATTGGGTCCGTATTCAATCGAGTCTGTGTTCGATCGCGTCTATGTCCGATTGGGAAATACTGCCATGTCCGATCGATAATGTGCGCAATCCCGTTTCAAAAAGATTCTGACCAGAGAATTTCCAGCATATGCGATTTGCCGAAGATCTAGGAAGCCAATTTATAAGCTCTACATAGTATATTATTTATTTGTTTAATGTATTGTATATCTTCGACGCACTGACAAATGATAAAGAACCCCATTCACATTGAGTCAAAATAATCGTATTAATAAACATAATAGTCATCATTGGGCCAATGCCCCATGAAGAGCCAGAAATCTATTTAAGAATATTAAAAAATTTTGTTGTCTTACGCTTGAGTTCGACCAAGTGATCTCTCCATTTTAGACCTGAATCCATAATCAATCCCAAATATTTGATCGAGTTAGAAAACGATATAATCCTGTCATTTAATTGAATATCTATTGGAATTAAAAATTTCCTGTTTCATGGAAAATTGTAAATTGCGTTTTATCTATTTCTCTCTCTCTCCAAAGATAAACTCCAATGTGCTCAAAAGTGCCCCTGTTATAACTTTTACTCATTTCAACGAGCGTGTTAGAATGAGTAAATGCTATAGTGGAAGCATTTTAGAGCATGTCAGAGCATACGACGCGAACAAACCTTATGTGTTCGGTATATAGAGCCAAAGATGAAAACTATGGTGATTCGGCGATGAGATATGTTAAATTAAGTGTAGAGAAAGAAACTTGTGCCAAATCTGTGTAAAAGTTTGTCCAGAGCATAAAGTCAGAAATAAGATGTACACTGTCTCAATGATAGTTAACGAAGAAACTGAAAAAGTCGAATGTGTTCAATGCCAAGACTGTGCAGCTTCAGCAGTAAATTATAAATTAATGGCTAAGAAGAAGAGTAAATTAAGATTAATATAAAAATTGTACGTAGGCTGCTGGAAAAGTTTCTGCAAACAATATGAAAAAAAACATGTAAAATTCGGTAAATAGCTTTATTGTTTTTCGAAGTATTCGCCCTTAAGATCGATAAATTTTTGCACATGCTCGAACCAATTTTCGAAGCATTTTTTCTAAGGCTGTAACCTCAAAAATTAATGAACGAAATGTTTCAACAGCTGCTTCAGGCGACTCAAATCGCTCAACACGCATCTTATTTTTAATGTTTAGGAATAAAAAGAAGTCATTAGGTGATAAATCAGGTGAATACGGACAATGAGTCATCAATTATTACTGGATAAAAAATCAACGGTTTGACGTGCTGTGTGACAGCTAGCGTTGTCATGATGAAGGATGATGCGATGATTTCGGTTTGTTCTACGCAATTCATTTATGACTTCTGGCAAACAAATTGTTGTATACCAATCAGTATTTACAGTCCTTCGATCCTCTAAAGCCACGGTTGTCACGGTATAACCGAAGAAACAAGCAATCATTTGCTTGGCAGCACTACGTGAACGAACAACTTTTGTTGGTTTCGTTTCATTTTGAAATACCCAAACAGTGGATTGTTTTGTTTACTTTTGAGCTCATACGAATAGATCCATGTTTCGTCCCCAGTAACGATATTGTAGACCAAATTTGACCGACCTCGGTTGAATTTCTTGAGCATTTCTTTGCTCCATTTAACACGAGCCTGTTTTTGAGCTTCGGTCAAATTGTGTGGGATCCAACGACTGCAAAGTTTGCGTACGCTCAAGTGATCATGCAAAATCATATATATTGCTTTCATGTAAATGTCTAAGGATGCCTGAATCTCGCGATATAAATATTATGCCGGTCTCGCTCAATAATTTCACGCACAGCATCAACATTAGTGGCAACAACAAACGTGGATGGACGACCTTCACGGAATTCATCACTAAGAAAGATACGTCCACGCTGGAATTCGACAAACCAATTCGACAACCAATTATAAACAGTCCTATTG